AGGTACTGTAAAACACTCATTTCTGCCCCTTCATCTTCAATAACAACTGCTGTGGTGGAGTGAGTTCTGTTCGCTGCCTGTTGACTCGAAGTGGTTTACCGGAGGGGAAAGTTTAACAACCACCTGAAGCCGTGTTTCAGTTGATGTGAGTCAACTTGTGAATAAAGTGCTGCTCCCCCTCGTCCTGCATCCTGTTTTTTAAAAGTGCAGGAAACCCAACGAAACTCTCTATTCTCTCTATGTCATACTCTCATAGTGTTTGGTATTTAGTCATACATGCATCTTTGCTCCTAATCTTTTCTATTATCACTTTCATCTAGTACAATATACACAACCAGGCAAAGTGGGCCACAGCCCCTAGACCCTATTTCATCCATCTGGCAATAAATGTGTGGTGATTAGATTAATTACAAAATTGTTTGGCAATATGCACAACTAAAGTAAAATTACTAACGAACAGTACCAGTCCTGGTGTATACAGTATCATATGAACATTATTAACTGTTTGCACTGAGTAAAATAAATATTTAAACCCGAGACTCTGTTCATTTTATGGCAGCACCATTCCATCAAAAGGGAAATATTCACATTATTTAACCTGACAAACTGTGTTGGTGTCTTTAGAAGTGTATAGAGAACAGTCTTTAAAAAATATGAATAAAATAAGTGAGGATGAACGTTTACGTCGTATTAGGTGAATAAAATACCTGACAAATTAGTAAACGTCAATACATTGACGCAAAGAACATCCAGTAAGTTTTTTCAGTTTCTGTCACTCAGTAAATGTTTGTTACATTGAGTTTCCAGTTGTTGTTTACATACACTAACCGACAACTCCATAGTGTGAGTGACATTACCAGTGGAAACAGTGAACAGATGCTCATCAACAAACAAACAAACAATCAGCTCATCTCTGTCAACAAAAAACAAAAAATACATTAAAAATAGAGCACATTTAGGGACAACAAAAGTCCAGACTGATGTAAGAATAGAAAACTGGAACATGAGTTGAGCGTGTTTTTGAATTCATTCATTATTTTCTCCACGTGCCTCCACCTCCAGCCAGTGACGCGCTCGCTTTCAGTCTGCGTGCGGCAGCGGCGCTACACCAGAGGAGGAGGAGAGAAGAAGACTGCTGCGTTAAGTGTCAGCTTTACTGTTGAAGTGTAGTCTTCACGCTGCCACACACACACACGGACACACTGCATCCTGGGAGCGCGCACAGACTGTTTATCTCTCGTTGCGATCGGCTACAACGCGGTTTTATCTCCGCCGAGCAACAACCGCGGACCTCGGCTACCGACACCTGCCTGCCCACACGGAGCATGCACAACAAAGACTGATCCAGGCTCTGCGCTGTGCGGCAGCAACCCGAGCCAGGCTGCTCTGAAAACCCGCAAAGAAAGCCATCTATATTAAAGGCTGCACACAGAGCGGGTTGGTGCTGCAGGAGGAGGAGGAGACGGAATTCGGTGTTTGGGACCTCCATATTGCAGGCCGATCCGATCCGATCCGTGCCTGGCAGGTTTAATTATAGCAACACTTGCATGCGCGTCTGACTTTCGCGCGGACGTCCAATAGTAGACGGTGTTTGAAGGGGTCGAAGAGGAGAATAGCAGGGCCTCCATCGGTGTTGTTTTTAATAATTTAATAATCTCTGCTGGACTCACTCACACACCCCGTTTGATGGTCGCCGTCGTCAGTCCTGTGTGTTCAATGTTCCCTTAAAAAAAAAAAAAAAAACCCAGGAGAATAATGTGGGTCAGTCCCGAAGATGTGTTACTGGCGGGCGCGTTATGGATCACCGAGAGAGCAAATCCGTATTTCATCCTCCAGAAACGGAAGGGCCACGGGGATGGAGGTGGAGGACTGGCGGGTAAGCTCTATTATTATTATATACTGCCACGGGTCAATAGCAACAACAAAACATTTCATCAGAGATTACTGATGATGAGATGAAGAGTAGGTGGAGTGTTTGTGTTGATGTTGGACATCAGGAAGCACATGGAGGGGTAATGTGAGGTGGATCACATGACCAATCAGCGGCCACAGGTGGCCTTTCACCTGAATGTGCCAGTTAGCACAATAGTCTGGATTTCCTTTACTAATTGATTAATCCACACTCTTTGTCAGCCTGCTTTAAAGGAGACTAAACCTTTGACCAAGCATGCTGACATCCAGCAAAACTACTTAAAGGACAAAGTCCAGCATATACTGTCTGTTCTGACTATATAGTTCAGGATTTGGGTCATATTATGGTATACTCTGTGGTAAAATGACTTAGGCTGATCCTGTCTGTAAGAGAAATGAGCTCTCAGCCATTACAACAATGCAAACAATAGCAGTTCTTGTGCAGCTGCCAGTGGCTCAACAACAGTGAATCTATTTTACCACCAACCAGAGAAATGGTCTGTTTGCTTGCTCATGCTGAATCATTCCCCTTCTTCCTTCTCTCACTCCAACTCCTCCCTCTTGCTTATTTCATCCAAAATGGGTCAAGCAGCAGCAGCAGCAGCAGCAGCAGGAGGAGGAAAAGGAAGGAGGACGAGGAGGAGGAGGAGGGACATTTTATGGAAATGACAGTTTAACAAGCTGCTGTCCTGTTTTCTGTCAGAATTTTGGGAAATTTGGTTCATTTCTTGACCTGAATTCAGCTGGTTGCAGGCAACCACAAAATCACCACTTTTTTAAGAAGATAAGATAAGATGCAGTTTGACATCTTTGAGGAAATAAAGGAGATAATTACATAGTTGGGTCCCTGAAAACCTTGATATATAAACTTGTTTGGGTGCTGATGTTGAAACTTTTATCTGATGCAGTCATATGCAGAATAACAGCTGCAATAATAAGATGCTGGGTCCAGAAACCCCCATTCCTCCCCCTGTGCATGCTCTTTACTATTGTGGAATATTATATGGCCCCATATGCGCTGTGTTGTGATTTTCTTACACAAAAATACATTTAGAAATATGCTTCATGTGAGATGAGTATCAGTTTAATTCATGACGGTCATAATGCTAGATTCTGACACAGGAACAACTTCACGGCAAAAGTGATTTTTAGAGGTAAAACTCTAACGTATTTCACAAGAATTTTATTTTTCATTATTTCTCACCCCTGTAATTGTATTGTGTGTTGTGTGTTGGAGTCCATGGCCCCTAGGTTGAGAACCACTGACACTGTCAAAGTTTTCAAAAGTTTTAGTAAATACACTTAATTTCATATATTACAAATTTAGGTACTTCATCACAATGATGCAAGCGTCGTTTAAATCCAGTATTACTATAAAGCAATGGTGGCCAAATACACCCAGAGATATTAAAGGGATAGCATGCAGGTGATAAATAGTATGTCAAAATCTCTATATATATACTGCTATATTTACCAACCATAGTTGGGCTAATAAAGGCTTAAAGTAAAGATTACAGTTTTGTTAAGTTTCAGACCTGACATGCATCCAAATTTAATGCGCTGGTAACAAATTTAGAATATAATATTTGTGATTTTACCATCTTTGATATTAATAATTCAAAATAAGACCTGCAGCCTAATTTTCTCGGTCTCTGGTGAGTTATTACTGTAGCAACA